CCCCGCCGGTCTTTTCATTTAAATCGTCCACAGTGGCAGTGAGGGGGGGGGGGAGGGGGGGTGGGCGATGAGGGGGGTTAAATAAGTAAGGAAATATTACCATATATTCATATGCATGTACACACTTCCCTGTCTAAAGACTGATGAAGGTAAAGTAAAGAGCCCAACGAAAACACTCTCCAACACGTGCACAAATCTTCAACGCCATAAAAACATCGGCACAACTCTGACCTCAGACGTTCATCACGGCCGGGGAGTCGAGGGAAAAGGTGCTAAATTAGAAATGATCGCCTCCTGATGGGGTCTAAGAACCCCCCCCCCCCTTACATAAGCTGAATGCAGGTGAAGAGCGCCTCCACGGAGAACGTTACTGCAGCAGAACTGTTCAGTGAAGGAACATGGAACCAATGTCCTAACGACGTCCTAACACTGATGAAGAAAATATATACAACTGATATCATAACATATGTTAGGGCTGTAGGAAAATATATCCATACACTAAAATATTGCGATATTTAGTTTCACGATTTAAAAGTATTTTAGCAACCTGACGTTATAATGGAACAGCACCGTGTGTTTACTACGTTGACAGTTTTTCTACAATTGTTTTTTGGTTTTTGTCTTTGTTCAGTTACGGCTTCGAGGACCAGGATTTTCCCACAGACAGATGCTCACACAGGGTGACACCCGGAGAAGCGAGCTCTGATCTGAGGCGAGGCCGACGACAACGGAGTCGAGTGATTTTTTTTTTTTTTTTTGACTGTTCTGCCGTCTTTTTGTTTGGTATCATGGGATTCTTTCTGCTACTCAAAGAAAAGCTGTGAGTCTGTGAAATTAGAACTGGAGGGGACTTTGATGTGGGCAGCTCGGATCAGGAGCGGGGCTGATCTGAAGCTTCATCCTACCTAATCAGCTCAGCCCGTCCTGCTGGATGTTGCTATTTTTAGCCACGAGGCTTAAGCTCAGTGTACACACACGTGGAACACGAGAGTTGTCCTTTCACAATATGAGAAGCTGAACAACATTATCGGTTTTTCATGGCGACGCTGTCAGGTGGAAGTGTTTGGAAAACATTAAATTTAACGTTTAATTGTGCCGTCAATAATTGCGGGAAGTTCGGAATGAAGGGGAACAAACGGTTAACTTTAATCACCTTGACGTTTTTTTCTTTTTTTGCTGAACACGATAAAAGCTGTTTGCTGATGTTTTCAAGTAAACTTTGTTCATTCAGCACTAATTGATCCCAACGTGTGTGAAGCTCTGCCTGTTCCTCTTTCATCTGTCAACTGGGGCTAAGCCTGAGGACGGCTGACCAACGAGAGGTACAGTACGCACAGCATGTGAACCAGGGATTGAGTCAAAGAGTGAACCAAAAAATAAAAGAAAACACATTTTAAAATCATAAAACGGCACAAATCATTTTCACAAGGATCGCAGATGTAAACATTTTTGTTTTGTTTTTGTGTTACAAGCAATTTTAAAAAATTGTTCTTTCCCCTCCGGTGACAGACAGAGAGAGAGAGAGAAAGAGAGAGAATGTTTGTGTGGTCTGTACCTCAGTGGCTAAAGCAAATACATTCATCCTTTTAGTTCCACACCATTTGATGATGCTGACTATGCAAAACTCCTTTTAGCAGGTGCAGAACCCCCGGCCCCCTACTGGTGAATGTGTGAGTGTGTTTGGAATTTGTTTTTGATTAAAAATATTCTACAAATATTAAAAAATCAGGATGGAAAAAAACTGGACATGGAGATCAACAGTAAATACTGTGTTTTGAGGTTTTTACTAGGGATATCCAATAATATCCGCCGAACGATTTTATTGGCCCCATATTAGCATAACTATGTAATATCTGTAGGAATTGTTATCATTTTTAAAAAAAATCCAATCCAATCCAATAATGAAAACCTGATAACCCAGTGCCTGGGTTTGGCCAAATGATGTTTGACCTAAAAATAGTTTGGGGGAAAAACGGCTGTATGTGAAAGTGAAAGTCACTAGATGGCAGCATTGCAGCTTATTTTATTAGTTAGGGTTTTGTATTCATAACACTGGTGCCAGCAACTTTCAGATAAATAAATAAATATTACAGGGCGCAGTATTTTAATTCAAGGGGTGCATGGCAGAAAATAATTGCGAATATCCGCAATATCGGTATCAGTTGATATCGGATATTGGCAAAAAGTTATTTTTGGACATCCCTGGTTTTTTACGTCTTCTCACCTGTATGGTAGTGCACCAGCAGGTCTTGACTGTGGTCTCCTACATTCATGGGGTTAAATGTAACAACCACCTGCAAGTTCTCGCCCGGTTCCAGAGTCCCACAAGAGGGCGTCACTGCGAAAGGCCTGGAAGAACAGAATATCACAGACTAAATTCCAAACCTTTTTCCAAACAGTAAAAACAGCGAACCTCCAGACTCCGACCTCTGTGTTCGCAGCTCAAACTTGGCCGTGCTGTTTCCAACGTTGATGACCTGCTGCAGCCGCTCCGTGGAGCCCTTCACGGGACAGATGGGTAAACGGAGCTCATCTCGAAAGTTCAGAATGGCGCGTGGCCCAATGGCACGGACCGCGACGGCAAAGCGCTCCCTGTCGGTCACGAAAACCAGCGTGTGGTGGTAGTCCTGGGTGAAGAACATATCTGACATGGTTAAACCAAATATTGTCTACTGTGTTGTATCGTCCACGCAGTTAGAGTCAACACAGATTTTTTTTTTTAAACTTGAGCCAAGTTCCAATTCTGTAATTTGAGTCCCATTTAGAGGAAAACAAACGTCAATGAAGCATGTAAGCAAAATTTGAGAATCTTTTATTGATTAATGATGTTTCTGTATCTGTTTATCGAGCGGGATGGTACAGCAAGGCTACGACACGAGGACTACACATCTCTGTCAATACGTCACACACACAAAAGCCCAGAATATGGAGAAAACAAAAATGAAAAAAAAAATTCACTAATATGCATCGTTAGCGCAAACTGCGTTGTCTGTGTTTGGTCACGACACCCCTCGTGGTTGTTGTTACGTTTGACATTGGCGTCATTTCATGTCGACCTGTGAGTCTCAGTTTTCATTCTTAGGCACATTTTCAGTAACTTTATCCCCGACCCTTGACCCCTGACCTTCCGACTTGACTCCGACTCTCTGTTCATGTCGACAGTCGTCTGTGGTCAAATATGAGCTGTGTTCAGCTTTCCTTTTACTTCAATAATTTTTTTGTCAAGCACCACCTCCTTAAGCAGGGGTTCCCAACCCACGGCCCGAGGACTGCTGCCAGTCCGCAGGTCATTTTGTAGCGCAGTAGGCCTCAATGGTAAAATGTACTTCAGTTTTACTAATTTACTTCATTCTAAAAGAATGCAGTCATATCCCTTTACTTTTTTCATTCAAAGATAATCTGTCAATGTTTCAGGTCACTCAGACTTAGAAAAAAAAATCGAAATCCCCTTAACGTACCACTGGCGGTACACAAACCTCAGTTTGGAAACCACAGTACTGCACTACAGTGATGGTGTGTTCTACCTTGTTCTCCTGAGGAGAGAAGAATATGGAGAAGGTTGCGCAGCAGCTTGGTGCGATCCTGCCCAGAGCCTGGTCAGGAACATGGGCTCGGAAAAACTCCGAGTCCTGCATCTCCAGCCGGACTCTCCTGGGAACCTGGACAGAAACACACGACCCAAGACCAAGATTAAAACCCACACACTGAGAAGGTCACGATGTTTGTATTTGTCAGACTCACCTTGTCCATGTTGAGGAGACGCAGCTGTAACTTGTAGGTCTCTGAAGCAGTGAAGTTCTGGAAGACCAGCTCTGAGGGATAAGGCTGGAAAAGAGGCTGGTCCAGATCCACCATGGACGACTGGTGAGACAGAATTAAAGAGTCCAGAGTTCATTTTAAAATACTTTAATACTTTTCGCTAGGTGGCAACAGTTGGCTATAAAAAACAAAAACATAAACAGAGCTGTTGAAAATCTTGTGTGAGTGTCTTTCTTCAATTCCTGCCAGTATATTAGCGTTGTCTTCAACTAAACAGGAGTACATTTTTAGTAAATATAAACTAGAATATTATTAGATGATTACCTTTAAATCCTCTACTTTTCCCTGGCACAATTCCCTTTAGTGGCCACACACACACACACTTTTGCATATTTGACAAGTCAACAGAAAATGTGAAGAGGATGAGTCGCAGTGCGCGTGATGAAGAGGATATTTATTCATTTAATTTCTTAATGCCATCTTCACTCCCAGCCCGTCATTAAATTTAATCTTTAAAGGCATTGAGCAGTCAGTGACACCAGCTGCCCTCGGCACATCAATTAGTGGCTGCTGACTAAGTGGGAAGCAACTCTGGTACATTGAAAATGACCCTGGCAGTCGGCACATGCTTTGTATGCAGATGATTAACGGCGAAATAATGAGAAGTTTAAATGTGTTGTCTTTACAGGGACAAAAAGTGACAAGTGAGACTGGGACTAAACACAACACAGCAGCGGAAGGGGATGGTGTTAATACCCTCACTGGCCTCACTCAGTTGAGGTTATTTTTACCTCCTCCTAACAAAGGGACCGCATATTCAGAGGGAATTAAACCTCGAACAGGCCGCTGTGCTGTTGCTCTGCTGCAGGTTTACAGTACCTGCAGTCAGTGTGAAGACATTTACATTTTTATTAACTTCTACGACAGGCCGGCGGCGGAGGGAAAATTTCCTGTCAGACAGTGAAGACGTCTGCATCGAAATGCTCAAGAAAACATTTCTTATACAGATGCTGTTCAGGGAGGATGCAGCCTCAGCAGAACCGAGTCCACACAGGCTTTGTCAATGTTATCAGTGAAGCACTGAATAACCACTGTATGTGTTACGACTGGCCCGCCTACAGTCTGTGTCTGTTTGCTATTAAATGATTATAATAAAGAAGCGATGTCGATGTAATCTGGTTTTTGGAATTCACAAAAAAAACATTCGGTCGATATATTTGATAAGTAAAACTCTGTGCATTCAGTTTTTTGCGTGATTTTGTGGATATATCAGTGGTTTCCAAAATGAGGGGCGACACTCCCCTAGCTGGCACCAAGCTACAGTATATTACAGCAGGGAGAGTGTGTGGAGGGTATATATTAGAGAATATATTAGGCATTACTGTGAAGTAGACGTTTACTGGGGTTATACAATAATTATTTTTATCACGTTTTGATTTTTTTTAATTTGCCAACCCGGTTTTTCACCATCTTTATGTTGTGTTAATCTTTTTCTCTGCAGTACAGTTGTCTAGAGAACTGGGATGCAACAAAAACAACAAGGAAAAAACAAAACATTTCCTGGTGTTTACTTTGTGATGCGTAGTCTCGCTCATGTCAAGCAGCTCCAGGATGCGGGGGGAGTGCACCTCCTTGGTGTTCGCCAGACGCTCCTCTGTGGACAGCAACATCTCATGGGTGTAAACAGATGGAGTTACCTGCAGACACACAGCAGCACAGTCCATTCTCCTGACAACACTGTACCATCAGAGACTGACGACGACGCAACACCAGGAAAAAAGAAAAAACTCAAATGTTCAAGAGCAAAGATGATCAATAAGATGTTGAGGGTTAAATAGCTGAAACTAATAACCAAAATTTTTATTTTGGTTATTAAAAGACAAAACAAAAGAAGAAACTTTGAGCAAAATAGTTAAAACAAATAACTCTCATTCCAAATTGAATCAAGGTAAAATATTTTTTTCATTGTCAATACATTCAAAATGTGACAAATTAGCCAAAAAGAGAGAAGGTTTGTTGAAAAAATTTAAAAATTAATCACACAAATCTAATAGTCAAGAAAATATCCACATTATCTACAAATAAAGTGCTGGTGAAATATAATCCTGATCCAACAAATACAAAATAATGAATAAAATAAATACAACTTAAATAAATACAACTTAAAATTCTCACCCTTTTTGGTTTGTCCTCCTTTAAAACGGGTCTTAAGCTGCACAACCGGGGCAACACCGCAGTCATTTTTTAAATGTTTACATTCAAATACCTGTGAAAACCACATGGATTTTTTTTAGCTTTTACATTTTATATTGGATAAAACAGTTCTACATAAAACCCGGTCCGCGGTTTGACCATTTTAAGTCGCGAAGCTAAGTTAAAAGCTAACACTAGCGTCTAAAACTTTCAAAATTACTATTTTGAAATAACACACTTTAGCTTATTTTGTGTTGTCAACTTCTTATATATTTTAACACTACTTAGTAACTTAATTAATTAAAAAACATATTTATTTTACTATGGTTTTCTTTGCTTTTTAATCTTGGACAAAATAAACTCGTCTTACCGTCACATGAAGAAAAAAAACACAACACTGGATTTTAAACTTATTCACAGCACGGTTTGTGTTTACGGCAACCCGGTTGATGTTTGTTGCTGTGGAAACCATGTCTGACAACGCACCACAGAGTCATCCGTCGTGTGATTGGCTTAAGAGGAAGTAAGTACCCCTGTGATTGGGTAGTGGTTTAGTACGGTAACAAATGAGGCTCCGACGCCGACACTTGACCACAGGAAGTTGTTAGGGAACCTGTGGTGTCGCCAGGGGCGCACGCAGACAATTCAGGTACAGGTTTGCGAGGGGCAAACGTCTAGAACGTTCTCTCAGCGGTCTTAAACAACTTAGATATGATTTTTAATATTATTTTTAGCAAGATATGAGCATTATTTTTTATTTGATCGAGTTCTAAAAATCGTTTTTTTACTCTTTAATAACAACACGTAGGTAGTTGGAAATTAAAGGTAAAATAATAATAATAATAATAATAATAATAATAATAATAATGATGATGATGATAGTACTACTACTACTAATAATAAACTTAATGTTCCGTGTTTTACCAGGAATACCAGGAGAAAACCATGTTGAGACAACATGCAGACTTTTCACTGGGAATCGGACCAGGAAACCAGGGGTTATACGAGGTAAGAAATTGCAATTCATTTATCAATATCACTTATCAATTATTCCCTATCAATATTTGTATTAATTCCTATTGGGTTAGGAAATAGAATATAGTACACATAGGTTTGTTTACATTCACTCTTTAATAAATGCACCAACACATTCGGGTTTGACTTTAAATTAAAACTGTAGGAATAAATGGAAAAAACATCTCCAAACACTAACATTAAATACACTTGCAGTTATCAACTGTATCCACAGAATTCTTAAGCAAACAGAATAAGATTCCAAAGATTGTTGACCATGGGGAGGCGCCTCTTTACAAGAACCGGTCCTGGATTCCCCTCCACAGACTCTACAACTGCATGGATTTTCATGGACATTAATTTTTGTCCATTTGTTTTTGTTAGAAAAATCCTCAGATCATGATCATGTTTCCATAATCACTACACTACAACCTGAACATTTACCACCATACAGTACTCAGTACTCAGTACTCCGACTCCTTTATTCCAGTGTCAATATTGACACTTCCTCATTCAAAGCTCTGACACAGGTGCAGCCTGTAGGAGTTTTTTTTCCCCACCCTATTTCTCTTTCATTCTCTCCCTCTAACCCACATGTCAGCATTTTGAATTTTTGTCCATCCTTTGTGTGTGTGTGTGTGTGTTTGGGGGTGGGCGAGTAGAGAATTCCTGTTGTATTTGCAAAACAATCGACAGTTAACCACATCAGAACGACTCCAGGTTTCGTGACTCAGTTCCACTTCACAGCTCTGGCTTTTCATATCTTGACCAAAACTTTGTGGCGTTTGTCTGTGGCCTCTGTCAGGTTTACCACAGTCACTTGAGGAAATCACTGGGATGTGCACACCGTGGCAGAAAAACATCTTTATGACAAACGTCTCTGCATCGATTTCATTTGACTGTAAAAGAATGAAGGATGAAAAGACGACAGGAATAAATCTCATCTACAACTTTTAAATACAAAAGTATTTTCTGGTTTCAGAAAAGTAGTAGTAGTAGTAGTAGTAGTAGTAGTGGTAGTTAATAGTCAGCGTTGAACCAGTTAACCCTGCTGTTAACCAGTGTTGGAGGTTAGAGGAGAAATAACACGTTCGACTGGCACTTCACTTCAGTTCAGTTCCTCATTCTCTCTTCCTCCTACTTTCTCCCCTGCCTCTCTCTCTCTCTCTCTCTCTCTCTCAGTCCCTTACAGTAAAGTGAACTCTAAATACTCTGCTGTAAAATTCGAATTCCCTCCTCCTTCAAAGCGAACTTTACTTTCTCTTCCATTTGGCTTTTACGCGTGACGTCAGCGCGCTGCGTCGCTCTCCTACACCAATCCGGGTGATCGGCTGCGGAATCTCCATCAGCCTCTCCAACTGCCGTGGCCTCGTCTCGTCAACTGATCAGCAGATAAACTCCCTGAGCAGACAGACATGGAAGCTGCGTCCCAAATACATCGTTGACCTCGACTACATCAGGACGTAGCTTCGTAGTCGTACGACTGACATAACAACTGACCATAACGATGACCGCTGTTAGTGTTAGTGTCACGACTGCGTTTCTCAGCGGTTTTCGAGGTTGTTTTTTTTTTTCCGCCTTCTCTCAGGATGACATCACTGTGACGCAGCAGAGGAAGCCACAGGTGGAACAGACACAGAGAGAGATGTCAGTTTTTATTCTACCGCACGCTTTGAATAGTAACGTTTCAGCCTCTCTCTTCAGCTCTGCTCGTTTAAAATCACCAGCAGTACGCGGCTCCTCACCCTCACTCCCAGCCTCACCCACACTCTAACTGACGAGCTGGAAACTGCTGGGCTGAAATGGGTAAAAGTGGAAAGTCAGGAGGCCCCCCGAG